TCTAATGTGCTTGCGTACCCAGGGTCTCTTACTGATTTTTCTGTATAATCTGCCCCTGCATAGAGGAGATGAACCAGATTCTTTGATATATTCTTAATGTGACTATACCAATGTGAGTGGCTTGGCTGGCCTGCCTGCAGAATATTTGGAATATTCATTCCTGAGTTGCTTTTTGTCACACGGATTGTATGGGTTGCCTTACATCTAGCTGTTGTAAGTGAATTATTAAGTATGTCCTGTTAATTTTGTCTAGAAAAATACTGGTATGCTAAGAATCATGCTTTCTGTGAGATGCCAAGAGGCTTAGGTATCTTTTAGCATTTTTTCCAAATGCCAAAGTCCAAAACTAAGATGAATTAATATAGGAATACAGGTTGCCTGTAGGATTTTCCATCTGTGTTTTTATGTGAGGTGTTTCCATTCTTCCTCTGAAATGCTTTATATTACACTGTTTCTTAGGAAACTGAACAAACGTTTTGGAGGTGCGTGTTTTTCTCCCCTTTACTTGTTTCTTGGGGAAGACAGACCAGAGTTAAACTTGCTCTTAACGTTGCTACTCCATGGCTGTCTTTCCAGTAAGGAAGACTCCATGAGCCTCACGCATCTGTCCTGATCTTTCTTTTCTGAAGCCTCTTTTCTGTTTGGTTTTAGCTACCCTTAAGATCTATGTGCGTGTATCTGTCAAAACTCTCACAAATGTTCACAAACTGAAGTGCATCCTCTGTGCTGCTGATCAGGAGTGGGCGCTGCTTGCCCGTGTTCCTTGACATAGCTGCTGCGAAGCCATAGCTCTTTCTCTGTTCTAGTCACTGTCCTTTGCCTGTGCTCTGTTCTCATTACATTTCTCCTTCTTTCTCTCTTAGTTTGTGGCTCCTTCTCCAGGTTTCCTCTGCAGCAGCATGTCTGTGTTGGAGTTTGGCTCCTTGAGGCGGGTGATAAGAGCTCTTGAAGCACGACCAAACTGCTTGCCCGAGCCTTCTGATCTGTAAGAGTGAGCTGGCCTTGCGGTGGCTGTTCAGGAAGACTGAGGCAGCAGACGTGGAAGGTGAGTCTTTAGGAACTGACCTGTTATCTCATCCCCAGCTGCAAGGCTCCATCCCATTCTGTAACCGCAGCAGTGTTGCCATCCTTGCTCGTCTGTTCGCTACAGCCCTTGCAGTTTGGACAAGCATGATGTAAAAAAAACATTACCTCTCACAACCCTGGCTGTGCGGGGCTCCACCGAAGTGGTGGACACCTTTTAATCCTGGTGATGGACAGGGAGGATCTGGGACCCATAGTATGGTCAATAGTACTTACTGGGCTTGGAGAATGTCAGGAGGCTTCCTGTAGGGACAGAGAAATGTTGCAAATGTCTGAATGGTATTTGTGGGGTGTTCAATTTAATACTTGATCTCTTAGGCATAATCTAATAAGGGGAAAAAGGCTGTAAATTGTGTTCATCGTGGCCTATTTATAAATATAATAAGTGCTGGGAATGTAAGCATGCTTATAGGCAGTGAGGGATGTTTTAACCCTCCTCCTCCTACTACAAAACAGCAATTCTCTTGTTTTGCCGTGGAGCGCACCAACTGAGCACTCTGCTGTTGCAGAGCGTGGCCTGAGTACACCTGAATTGTACATTTGGGGGTGGGAAGAGGAAAAACGTGAAAGGAACTGAAGGGAGGTGTAGAGGGCAAAGAACTGAGCGGCAGCGTGGTTAAAGCATGTGAAGGTACTCTGGCTGTGGAGTTAAGGGGCTGAAGGAAGGAGACTGGATCCAGCAGCTGATGATGCAGCTGAACACAAGAGGGCTACAATAACACATTTTCTCTTGACAGGAGATTTCTGGATGGAGCTTTATTAATGCCTATTTACCTTGTGGCCTGCTCTTAGTGTTATACGGCTGGGAAAAGGAATAAAATGCTACTTAACACCCTTTAAGTCCTGAGTACACCTGTCGCTTCAGTGCAGGCTGTAACAACTTGAGCCTGCTATTTTTAAAACTTTTTTAGCACCTTAAACTGCTTAAATGTTGGCACTACTTACTGAACGTGCTGTTGCTGCTGGTAAGGTACCAAAATCTATGGCAGAGATAAATCATTCTGTATGTCCTCTAAGGATATGAATGCTTTTTCTGCGCTTAAAATGTGGAGAATCCAGATCTTACAAGCAGCAAAAGACTACATATGAAAAGCAGGGGGAAAATTGTCTGGAAAAGTACAAACCCCTGCCCAGTAACACAAGGAAGTGTTAGATTGCTGCTTTATTGATCCAAAGTGCAATTAGAAGCTACCTCCTGCAGCTGAATTTAGATTGGGCTTTTAACTTTTTGTCTTTTACATATGAATCTCCTATCAAGTGGAAAAAACCTTCGCAGCAGGTCTCCCGTGAAGTCACCAAGTTCAGCAGCCCGAACTTGTTTCACAAAGGGCTGCTCACCTGGAATAGTCTGTGGCTCGGTGTGCCTGACAGAAACTCAGGTTAGGTGCTGAAAAATGAGACTGAAGAGCATGCTGGCTAGAGTCAGGGTAAATGGTGAGTGCTCTGCTTCATTGTGGTACTTGACGTCAGTAAAGAGGCTTCTCTCTGCAATAAAAGGGCGTGTGTTTTTGTTTTTTTTTTTTCAGAAGGAAATTTGGCAGTTGTTTAGAAATGAGAACTTTTGCTTTCTTCCTTATATAAAGTATGTTGCAAGCGTAGGACTTCATCAGTCCAGAGCACCTGACTTTTTTAGCAGTGACATCTTTTCAAATAAATAATGTCGAAACTCACTAAAGTTTACACCTAGGATCTAGAGAAGGCTTTACCAGCAGCTCAATGCACACAAGAAGCCACTGAAGCCACTGTAACGCTTGATTTGAAAATTGTCTGCTTCTGAACATGATAGGCTGCTGGAAGAGTGGAATATAAACTAAGAGAATGCAGCATCCGGCAGCAGTAGAAAAAAACAACACTTCTCGCCTTCATTTAAAGCCTTGTCAAAGGGCCCTCATGAAAGGAATTTTCCTCCAGGCAGTGGTGGAAGGGAAAAGAGAAGGACCACAAAGTCTTCTTGCAGCCTATTTTGAGTTAGAGGAATCACTCTGCTGCTTTGTGAGCTTTTGTGTCCAGATAATTAAGCGGACCTAAGGAAAGAACCCAAAGCAGTCCATGGTATGGCATTTTTCTGGCTTAAGGACACCCCCACCAGTGCAGCTGAGCCACAGCTGCCTCCCCCACTCCCATTGCTGTGCAGCACTGATAACCATCAGCAGTTGCTCCTTGGGAAGTCTGAGCTATCTTCCTCATCACAGAGTTACCCAGGCACAGTGTGCCTGGTGGTGGGGAAGCAAGGGAGGGGGAGAATTCCAACTCTATCACTTGTAGTTAGTCAGTCATTAAGTGCAGCCTGGCTTTCTGCTCTGGAAAGCATCTAATTTAGGCGTGATCCTACACCTGCAGCCCTGTTTCTGTAGGGCAGCAAAATTTGTCCCTCTGCTAAGCTGCAAGATTGGCTGTAATGTGTTGAAGTCGGCCGCTGCCTTTAACGTGCACTGTAAGCGTGGTGTGTTTGCTGCTGCTGCTCGTTTTCTGACATACTGGCGAAAACACAAAAGCAGCAGACTGGTTCTCCTGAGTTCATGGGTCTACTTAGGTCAGGTCTTTGCATGGAAAAATAAGATTATTAGGGAAGGATTAGGCAGAAAAAAGTATTGTCCATTACTGGAGTGAGTTACATAGCTGAGTAGGACGTAGGCTGCTGAAGGGAGTTGTTTTCCTGAAACTTTTTTTCTGGGACATGGGGAGCGAGTTGGGATGATGCATTCAGCCTTTACTTTCTAATTAATCTTGGAGATGAAAGTGTTGATACCTGTAACTCCGGTACAGCTGCACTGTGCTGTCTGCATTCTTGGATGTTAGGCAAATCCAGTCCAACTGCACATACCTGGCATACCAGCTGGCCTTCCCAGTTCCACAGCGGTGCCTGAGGACATTCCCCACTCAGCACCGGTGAGGAACATCTGGGTTTTGACTGCAGAACCAGCTCTGTTGATCTGCATAGGCTACAGCTGGGGACCGAATGGGACAGGAGCACGACTCTGCAGTTGGGGAACCAAGTGTGGACCTCCTGGGGAAGGCAGTATGTCCATCGCTCAGCAGGGCAGCTTTTGTGGCCTATCGACTCATTCCAGCTACCTTTCAGAGAATCCAGGAACAGGTTTTGGTCTGCTTTGCCAGACTCTGATAGCAGTAAGTGTGTCTTTGGCAGACTTAGTGATGGTGTCCTGGCAAAACCAGTGTGGCCAGCATGGCACAGAGCGTGCTGCACCACAGCAGGGCTGTAAAAGGCGAGCATTTTGATGCTCTCTGTAGGTAGTGCTGCTTTATGGGCCCAGGGCGTGCTCTCGGGAAGTGACAGAGGCCACAGACAAGCAAGCAAATGCAGTATCAGTGGCGTCTGCAGGGAGCTGGGACTTGTGCTTCTCGTGTTGTGCAATCCAGAAATGGAACCAGAGGGGTCATCAGCCAGCAGCAGCGCAGCGCTCATCATGCTGTGGGGTTAGAAAACAGAAACGAGAACTGAGCGAACAGAAGTGGAGGTTGCTGTGGATGTGTGCAGACCAAATCACAGTGTATGGAGGGCAGAGGTCGTGCGTGCTGAGGGAACTGTGCAAAATGCCTCCACACCTGTAACTGAGCATAAGGATCATATCCCTCCCTGCACGTACATCCGCACTGACGGGTATTTGTTATGGTTAAGAGGATGCAGCTGCATGGGTGATCCAGGCATAGACCCATGTAGGCAGAGGCCTAGAATGCCTCATAGATGGTGTCTTTACTTGTAGAACCAGGTTGTGTTGGTTGTTTTGTGCTCAGTTCCCAGCAGCCGGGCTCTGCCCCCTCCGGCCTCCCGGGGCCGCCTGCGGGCAGCAGGGGAGCGGCGCGGCCCTGCCCGGCCCCGGGGCTCCCTCACGGGGCGGCGGCAGGTGCGGGAGGAGGCGCCGGGGAGTTCCCGTCGGGGCCTTGTGGGAGGGGAGGGGAAGGGAGGGGAGGGGAGGGCGCGATGAGGTCGGGGCCTCACCTGGCGGGCGGGAGGCAGCCGGCAGCCAGCCGGGCCGGGCCGGCTCCCAGCCTGCGGCCACCGCCACACCATGGTAAGCGCGGCCCGAGATGGCGGCGGGGTCCCGCCCGCCGTAGCCGGCCCCGGGTTGACCTGGCGGCCGGCCCCGCGGAGCTCGGGGGGGAGGCGGTGGGGGACGGGGCATGGGCAGCGCGACCCTCCTGCGGTCTCGGTCCCGGAGGAAAGAAACTTCTCTTTGCAGAGAGATCCCTCTGCTGGGATATGAGTGGCCCGAGCCGCGTTTCAGCAGGGGCAAGGTGCTCGGAGGGCTGTGCCAGCAGGTGGGAGCCCCGCTCCCGAGGGAGCTCGGGCAAGGTCTGCGCCTCCTGGCAGGGAAGGAGCGGTGGGCTCGTGTTGTTGCCCCCTGCCCGGCCCGTGGGGTGAGCCTCGGTCATGCCGACAGGCTGGTAGCGAACCAGGAAAACAAGGCTGCTCTGGAGAGAGCTGATGAAGGCTTCCTGTAACCCGAGGAGCTGCAGGAGGATCGGGTTTGTGTTCACATGGGGCCTCGTCCTCGGGCTGGCTGGCGTCTGAGCACTGCAGTTTTGGGCAGTGGGTTTTTTGTGCCAGGAGCACGGGGAAGAGCCCTTTCCCCACACACGTTCCCCTGTGTCTGGTGAGCAGAGGGCTCGTGTGGAGCCTTGCCTCCAGCCCAGGGGCCTCTGCTCGGCTGCCTCATCTCCTGAGAGCTGTAGGAGCTCGGTCATAGCTCTGCCTGGCTGCCAAGCCTGGCTGAAGTTGTTTCATCAGGTTCAGAAAGTGATGGATGCTCACGTGTGCAGTTTAGTAGAGCCTAAGCTAAAAAACTAACCACTTGAGTAGGGTGCAGTTCATGGCAAAATGATGAGTGGGCAATTGGAGTGACGTATCTGTGTGATAGGGACTGTGTGGGGCTGGGTCTGTTCCTCCTGGTGGAGGTGGCAGCATCTCTTGTTTGAGCTTTTACCAGCCCTGGATAGGGGCAGCAGCCCTCCAGGTTAAAGGGATCCTGCGAGGGAAGCCCTTCAGCTCTTCAGCCCCGTGCTTGCAGAGTCTGGTGGTTGTTTGCTGGGATCAGAAAAGGTCGCCGTGGTTATTCTCTTTTGTTAGATTTGATGACCGACGTCCCCCGAATAATGGCTAGATTTTCCCCAAGGAGGACTGTGGGCTCTGGAGCAGTACGATGATCAGTGATGCCTTGTAATTGAGAAAGCATCTCGCTGTTTGATAATTCAGGCTTAGGGCAGGTTCTGCAAGCATGCCCCAAGCTCCTGTCTTGCCCAGTTTGCCTGTTGTGTGCATCTGTGAGATCAGTTACCAGCAGTGCGACTGCCCAGCAGCCTCTGCTTTCACTGGAGGCTGAATTTTGATGTTTGGCTGCGTCCTCAAAGGTGGAGCTGAGCTGTTTCTTTTCAGTGGTTTGGTCAGAACACACCTCATATTTGTCTAGTGTAGTTAGAAAAATGTACCCTGTCATTGCCTTAGCATATAGGATATGTGCAGTAACGAATTTACAGATGGCAATGCAGTTTCCACACCTTAAGTCCTCATACATACGTTCAAGCTGGTTACACCCTGAGACAGCCCCACATATTAATTTCCCTCGTGTAAAGCTTATGTAAATAACTGGAGTTCCTATTTTGCCCTTGAAGGTCGATAAATATGGGAGGTGATTTCGGGGAAGCTGAGCTCGCAACTCTGCCTTGGTGCATGCACTTCCCAAATGCCAGTTCTTAAAGCACTCGCGGTGGTCCCAGGGGAGCAGTGCTTACAGTAGCACCGCTTATTAGCAGTATTGTCTGCTGTATCAATTATAATTTTTTAAATGTGCGTATCCTTTGTTTTTCCTGTTCTGAGGCATTGCTATAATAACGCGTGCTGGCATTATAACACCAGCTAGTGCTGTCAGCCTTACCCCGTTCTTCTATTGTGGAACCAGTGCTGATGAAAGGGTGCTTTTGTCAGGGCACTCCTTCGCTTCAAATTCCTCTGTCTGTTGTCCAGCCTCTGTGAAGGGTTGTTGCACTGGGTTACCGGTCAAGAATGAAGGGTTATTGGGTTACAAACCAAGAATAAGCCTTATTCAGGCTCACAGCTGATGAACTTGCAGCAGGTCACTTAAACTCGTTGGATCGGTTCCTCCTGTTTGCTGTGAGGCAGCTGTTTGCTGGCCACCACTACCGCCTGGTCTGAGATTTGAATGGAAGGCCATGGTACCACCTCCCAGCAGGAGGGTGGGTTCAATTGTTTGCTCTGCTGCAAATCTCCAGGCAAGTTTCAGGAAGGTATCTGCTTAGCAAAGTTTACTTCACATCCTGCTGAGAATGACCGGTTTACTGCTCAGCTGCTACCTGGTGGCGGGTCAAACAAAGGCTTTTTAGAAAAAAAGAGATTAAATTCTCCTCCCTGAGGTGTAGTGTTGCAGTGAAGAAGCATTTCCTGAAAGACTGCTTTCTCAGTGCTTAAGAAAGTGAAAGAGCAGGGGCTGAACAGAGAGCAGAAATATTTCTTTCCCCAAGGACACATGTTGCCATAGTCTCTCATGTCCGTAAGTGTTGCAACACCTTGATCCTACTGCCACCTCACCGTTATCAGGATAATCTCCATGGGAGTACATGGTTCTGCTTGCATAGCTCTGAGTGCAGAGTTGCTGCCTGCATAGCAAAAGGCCCTGCTTCCCTCCTGCCTGCGCCGCTCATCAGTGCAGTGAGAAAAGTCAGTTCTTGTAGACGTGGCCTGAAGCCCCGGAGAAAGATCAAAAGAATCCCCCTGAGAACGGGGGGCTCTGCAAACATGCTTGGCCTGAATAGAAAAGGAGCTGGCAAGCAGTGTTTCCATTTAGCCAGACATTTGATACCCACTGCTGACCGAGAAGCTTGGGTTGAAATGTTAGGTAAGGTGACTGCAGGTGCTGACACCTGCCTGGTGTTTGTAAATGAACCCTCAGCTCTTCCGAATATTGACTTTCCCAACAGTGCCAGTGCCCTTAATTGCTAAAATAAACACGGATCTGTAAGAGGTGTTTTCAGTGTTTTGCAGAACTTACTATCTGCAGTTTGGAGAAGAATGTGCTCTAAACCTTGCCTGCTTTTTTCCACTCTGATACAGCAGCATATTGGCCTCGCGGAGATGAACTTTGCCTTTAGGAATTTAACTAGGAAAGACAGGAAGGGCAGCAGATAAGAAGTGATGAGAGAAGGCGAGAAAATCACAAGCAAACGAATCCGGTTGGTTGAGGCAGCGTTATGCGTGGTGGGGGAGGTGAGGGAGTGTACCTGTGGTATTTCATTGTTTGTCATGCAGTGAACTGTTTGCTTGGGATCTGATAGTAGTGATGGAATGGCATTGCTTTGAAAAGCCCCTGAGGTGTTTCAGCTTGGAAAGATGACTGTAGGGGAAAAACTCAAATGCATGAAATTATGAATACTGCTTCCTGACGAAGTGTCAGAGTACCACCTGTGACGTTGTTAGGCACTAAGTGTAAAGAAAACTAAAGAGAATATTTTTTCATGTAGCGTGGGTGAAAGATCTCTAATCCACTGCCAGGGGTGCCGTGGGTGTCGTATTAGTCAGGCAGTTCGCAGAAGAAAAGCCCACAGGTGTGTTGTCTGGGTCTCAGTCCCTAAGTCCTTAATGCTGTGATTCCTGGAGACCGAGGAGTGCCAGCAGAATGATTTTATGGATGCCCTGCTTCTTACAGTCTGCCCTCCTGGAAACTGCTTAGATCAGAGTAGTACTCGGGGGAATACAGCATTTGGTGTTCAGTTACCACCCTATCATTCAGCTGGACTTGTGAATACCGTTTTGTGGGATTTGCTAGGAAAAAATGTTTTTTAGGGTTCTTTTCAGGAAGTCTGCAGTCTCTGGCTGCTGACGTGATCCTCCTCCAGCTTTGGATGTTCTCTCCTGAATACTCACTATCATTACTAGAGGCTGCCTGGACATCTTGGCTGTGCAGTGGTTGTGATTCACACTTTACAGTCTCTGGGTAATGTGCTCAGCGTGTGGAGCGTGTCAAAATGTTTGCCTCTTTGCAGCTTTTCTGTATCTTTCTTTTGATACAAAATCCTATGCTTTATAACCGTCGTGTAGACCTTCCGAAGTCATCAGTTGTACGCAGAAGCAGCTAAGGCACAGTGACGGAGGCACTGAGGAAACCAGAGGTAGAGTTGCTTCTGCTGCAGTCCCGACAGGATTTATGCTTCGGCACTTGGCGTATGCAGCAGGCGTTTATGTGAGCCGGTTGTAGGCTTTCCAGTGATGCCAAAATCAAACCAGCACTGCTGCTGTAAAAATAATCTTTTTTGTTACCTATGCACAGCTACTGATTACTGTTCCTTCCCATCCATTTCCCCGCTGTGCTGTTCCTCCAGGCTGTCAGCTGCACTCTCCTGCCTGCTCTGGGTGTGTGCTTTCTTGAGCGGCCAGCCCTGGGCCTTGGCGTTTTTGCAGACGCTGTAGTTCAGAGAGGTGTAAGATCCCATCGTATACAAATGGTGTTTCGTTTGTGAGTAGGGACGTAGCATGCAGTGGGGGAGGAACAGGAACTAAAATTACCATCTGTGTTTGAAGGCAAGCATGATGTGCCTTTCTGGCCTAACATGTCCTGGATTCGTGGTTCTCAGCATCACAGACATAACCCCAGGTGCTCTGTGCACCAGTTTCTGTTCTTCACTAACTTGCTGAATTTGTGTAAGATGTCTGTCTGCTGTCTTCTTTTCAGGCCTGAGAAGCAAAGATGGCATTAAAAGCCCTCTTCAGCAGCCAGTAAATGTCTGTGGTTGCCTTACAGCTTGCAGGTAGTTTTGCTCAGAGGCTTGCAGCTCCAGATGGCTAGTCAGCCAGTGCAGGGATTCCCACATGGTCATCACCCTCTGCTTAGTGCCCTGAGGTGAGTGAGAGACATAAAGCACAAGGAAATAAGAAATGGAATAATTTTTATTTGATGAAAATGCACAAGTTTACCATGTTGTGCTTGTGTCTCACAGCACGTGAAGTGCTCAGAGAGCGTCTGGTTGTCTGCCTGCAGATCTAGAAAAGTCGTGGGAATGTCTG